CTATCATTTTATGAATTCTCCAAAACTAATTTCAACGATCAAAACCGTCAAAATTGTTTGTATATGCTTGGAGATCACATCAGCAAAAAATCACAAAAAAAAACATTCAGAGATCAAGTAACGGGACAAAGCTTTTCGACGGTTATAAACGAAAATCAAGATTTAACGGTTATTTTAACTCCGATTTTGATGATTTTTTATAACTACACTCCTTGACCCTATATGAATACAATGAATGAATTCGATCTTCAATTTAAAATATTTACACAAGTGGATACCACAAAATCTTATGTTACACTTAATAAAAGTGTAAATAAACTCTAAGTGTTAGTCAATCTATCGTTTTACGAATTCTCCAAAACTAATTTCAATGATCCAAACCGTCAAAATTGTTTGTATATGCTTGGAGATCACATCAGCAAAAAATCACAAAAAAAAAAACATTCAAAGATCAAGTAACGGGACAAAGCTTTTCAACGGTTATAAACGAAAAATCACGATTTAACGGTTATTTGAACTCCGATTTTGATGATTTTTTATAACTACACTCCTTGACCCTATATGAATATAATGAATGAATTCGATCTTCAATTTAAAATATTTACACAAGTGGATACCACAAAATCTTATGTTATACTTAATAAAAGTATAAATAAACTCTAAGTGTTAGTCAATCTATCATTTTACGAATTCTCCAAAACTAATTTCAACGATCAAAACCGTCAAAATTGTTTGTATATGCTTGGAGATCACATCAGCAAAAAATCACAAAAAAAAAAACATTCAGAGATCAAGTAACGGGACAAAGCTTTTCGACGGTTATAAACGAAAAATCAAGATTTAACGGTTATTTTAACTCCGATTTTGATGATTTTTTATAACTACACTCCTTGACCCTATATGAATACAATGAATGAATTCGATCTTCAATTTAAAATATTTACACTAGTGGAATTTATATACTTAATAAAAGTATGAATCAACTATCATATTAATAATTATATACATTAATTTAATAATTTTATATCCCTAAAAAGTAAAAACTATAATAATTATATATATATTAAATTAAATTTAAAAATTGATGACCATTGGATCGGCTGAGATTAAATCTCAGCCGTCCATTTCATAATTATATATATATATTTTATTAAATTTAAAAAATTGATAACCATTGGATCGGCTGAGATTTAATCTCAGCCGTCCATTGTGTAGGTAATCAACACTCTCATTAACTCAGCTCCTCCTGAATCAAACACTGACTCAGTCTCTCTGTCTGTCTCTCTCTCTCTCGAAAATTCGAAATACTCGAATCCTCGATCGACTTCGTCTTCGACTCTCCGAGACCTCACGCCGTCACGCGGACGCGGCGCCTCACGGGCCCTCTCACCTCACCTCAGTCTCAGATCAGTGACCTCACTCTCCTCGTCGTCCTCGAGTCTCGACCTCACCCAGGTCCCAGACTGTCACCCTCCTCCTCACTCAGTCACTCTGTCCCTCACTCACTCCTCAGTTTGCCCTCCTCCTCACTGCACAACAAGTCAACAAGGTAAGAAATTCTTGCAATAAACTCAAGGGTTTCTGAATTAGGGCTTGTCGAATTAGGAATTTCTTAAATTAGGGTTTCTAAATTGGGGCTTTTCACTTTTGGAATTAGGAATTTCTGAAATTGAAGTTTCTGAATTAGGGATTTTGAATAGGGACTCTGAATTTGGGCTTTTGGAATTCGAAATTTCTTAAATTAGGGTTTCTAAATTGGGGCTTTAGGAATTAGGAATTTCTGAAATTGAAGTTTCTGAATTAGGGATTTTGAATAGGGACTCTGAATTAGGGCTTTTGGAATTCGAAATTTCTTAAATTAGGGTTTCTAAATTGGGGCTTTTGGAATTAGGAATTTCTGAAATTGAAGTTTATGAATTAGGGATTTATGAATAGGGACTCTGAATTAGGGCTTTTGGAATTCGAAATTTCTGAAATTCATGTTTCTGAATTAGGGATTTTGAAATTCATGTTTCTGAATTAATGCATGTTTCGCCCTCTGTTTGCTTACTATTTGAGTGCAGACTATTTGAATGCATGTTTCGCCCTCTGTTTGAGTGCAGACTATTTGTTTCGCCCTCTGTTTGCTTACTAGTTGAATGCATGTTTCTGAATTAATGCATGTTTCGCCCTCTGTTTGTCTGAGAAGCCTGCCGTTTTGAAGGTGCTGAGTGCAGACTATTTGTTTCGCCCTCTGTTTGCTTACTAGTTGAATGCATGTTCCAATACAATTTCATGATGTTCGATGTAAATTGAAGATTTTGTAAATGGAGGTGTAAACTTTTAAGAAAGACTTACAATCTTAAAAACAAAAACTCTTTATCCTTGCACATTTAATATTTGTAATAGATTAGTAGTGTATGTATTATTTTTTTTATTAGGCTTTCATTTTCGAGTGTAGATATAGTATTTGAACGAGAAATGTTTTAATGTTTTCAAGTAATATTTATGTCGCAATGTGTGGTATGTGCAAATTGTAAAAAAATATATTTTTTTCTTAACGGGTCATAACGGGTCGGGTCACTTTACCCGTTGGGTAAAGTGACACGACCTGTTAAGGACCCGTTAAGATAACGGGTGTGACACGACACGACCCGTTAAGATAACAGGTGTTACACGAAAACGACACGAACACGACAGACACGACCCGTTTGCCAGGCGTAGGTGCAGGTCCAGTGGGCAATGTGTAGTTTTGTGAGTCTGTTGGGCTTTAGTCCCATTGAAACCCTAAGAAATAATTAAATAAATAAAAGAAAGAATGTGGTATTTTCTTCGCAAGGCCTTCTTCCAACAGATTGCGAGCTGGTTTGATATTGATATGTTTTGAAAAAAAAAAAATTGCTTCTACTGTACTATAATAATAAGCTCATTTTTACCGCTTCACGTTTTCAACTTTTTTTTTCACCCAAAACAATGAAAATAAGCTATTTTTAAGTGTTTACCAAACACCTTTTTGATAATTGAACCTAAGACATCAAAAAAAATGTCACTAGACTGTAATACTAAGCCGCAAAAAAAGGAATGAATATGATTCCTAACAATTACTAACACCTAAAGACATTAGGTATGTGGATCCCATCAATTTAGGTACGACATAACTCAAAATGAAGGTACCCATTAACATAGGAAGATTGTTTATCGGATATACCCTATCTTTCACATTCTCATTCTTTTTAATCTCTTATTATCCCCGTACCATGTAAGTAAATATAAGTGGATTACTTTTTCCACATGGGGCCATATTTATTTTTGGTTGGGTACAATTAAATTAATCAGTATAATTATAGCATAAGTACAATTAAATTAATCAGTATAATTATAGCGAAAGTACAATTAAGTGACTCCCAACAATTGTGTCTCAATACCTTGTAATTCAAGTTCCAATAAACTCAGCCTACGGAGTACATGTATTGAGCCTTGCTTCCTGAAAACCTATCTGAATTTGGGAGGTGGGTGAAAGGGAAGGTTATGGGAGTTGATGTTAAGATGTTAAACTTTCCTCCCCAAATGTTTCTTCCAAATTTCAAGTCCAAGAAAGTGTCAAGGTAAAATGGAGTGCTTGAAGGTTTATAAGCGTGATTATGATATCCATATCAGTTTTTGTTATGAATTTTATAAGACAATATTGATATTTATCTGCTCTAAAGTTATAGTGCACTATTTCAGTTATAACAGCGTTTTGGTTATATTGTCATACGAGACAGTTATAAAGCTTCGTAGGAAGAAAGTAGTACACACAGTTGTTTGCTCAAGGAGGATCAAAATAATTGCGTCGTCTCAAATGTGGGGTATTGTAGGAGTTTGAGACCCTCTTGTCTCACATTGGTCAACAGTATTTTTTCGCTAGTCTTTATATAGGCTTATTCCCTCTTCTTAGTAATTAGAACTTGAACTATTTGGAAATGGATTGAAGATTTGAGCCTTATGGTTGTGTGGATTAGGCTTGAATATAATATAGCCTAAATACAATTAATATTAATTAATCAAGACAAGGGCTATTCATTAATTTTAATTTTTGGATTAAGTTTTTTAATTAACTAAACCCTAATTAAAAAACGTTTTGATTAAAAGACACAACTATTAGGAAGAGTTGTGTACTTTCAAATACATTGAACAGGTATTTGAAATGGTGTGAAACAGCCTATATATTTGCAATCACAGTATCCAAGTGAAGTCATCTTTTCTTCCTCTTTTTCTTCCATACGAAATTTCCAGAGAGTAAGCACACAAAGCAAATTCGCTAGAATTCTAGAATCCAGTGCGGGTTGTAGAATTAGGTAGTTGAATCCTGGTCGAGCAGACGTTGTAGAACCACAAGCACAAGAGTGGGACGAAAATACTGTTCGAAGGACATAGCTTTTACGCTAGCCTTTACCTTCTGTGATCAAGTTAGTATCATTGACATTGTTATATTAGTTTCTGTATTTATTTTATAATTTCATTCTGCACATCAAGTACTTTTGGTTAATAAAATATTAGAATTTCAATTTCTGTTTATTTCTGTTATTTTTTGTTTATTTCTAAATTGTTCTCCATCAATTACCAAGTCCAGTACAGTTTATGTGGATAAGATTCTTGTTTGAGTGACAATTCCAAGCAGGTGGCCTTATCTGACATAATTGACGGAGCCATATAGCACTAATAAACTCAACAAGGCCGTTAAAGAAAACCTGTTTGTTTTGATCATACAACTATTTAAAAGGGGGTATTCAATTAGGATTTTAAGTAATTCTTTAAAAGTCTAGATGTGTTCAACCGAGATTTTAAAAGAATTTATAACATTCCAGATGAATTTAATTAGGAATTGATTTTAAAGGATTTTAAAAAGTTGGGGAATTCCAAAGAATTGGAGAGATTTCGTAAAGTAATTCAAGCATTCTCAAATCTCACCACTCCTCCTAAGAATTTGAGGGAATTCACTCAAAATTTTACATTAGACACAGTTTTACCACACAAACTGATTAAAAAAGGTAAAAGTTACTTGTCCAATTTTGAACATCACTTTATATATATAAATTACAGAGTAAGGCTGGAGAAATGAAACATTTCATACAAAAACTTCGTAATATCTCTACAAAAGCTGAATAAGAAGGCAGGATACTGCCGGTCAATATGGTGAACATGTACACGCTCTTACACAAGTTTCAATTGTTCCAAAATATTCCTATCATCCTGCGCAAGTCGCTCAGACCACACTGAATGCTGACTGAATTGTAGACGAGAACCGCGACGCAATGGTCTGGGACGCAAACTGTTGGATCTGCTTTTTCGCATCTGGAACCAACATCAAAGTGTTTTTAATCAAGAATACATAAACAAATATCCCATCGCATTCTACAGGGAGAGGGAACAGATTGAATAAATAAATAAGGAAGCCACCTCATTGTCCCATAGATATGAAACTATTTCAATATATTACCAAAGGCCAAATTTAAAGTGAGCAACCTATCAAGCTAGGGGCCGCCCAACATATGCTCAGTTGGGAAATCCACCCCATTGAAATATGTGTGTATAGAAAGGGGAGGATGTATGCAATGTTATCTAACAGTCGTACGTGATGAGTAACATGCATATTATTACTCGCAAGAATGAGCGCTTAATAGCTACAGTACACTATCATCTACTTAAATATCTTTCATACAATATATACCTCTCCCCCCCCCCCCCCCCCCCCTTTTTTTTTTTTCAATTTTTTATATATATATATATATATATTTAAAGTGCTTTTCGTGTAATCTGTCCAAAAAACTTTTAAAACCCCAGCTTTCAATATGAATGTTTCACTAAAATAGCTGACACAATGCACTATTAGAAGGCCTAGAAATGCTAAGGTTTAAGCAGACATCCATCCTATGACACTCAACACAGAAAAATATGCCATATATCAATATATCTAACGAAAAAAATCAAATCAATGCTTCCATACCTTTGCGGCATTTGGTAAAGCCAACAATATTTGCAATGCTCAGGGTCAAACAAACTCCTACAACGAGGAGATAATCTGCCTGAAACTTTATTAGAGAAAATATTCCAAGCACAATCCATGCGACAGCCTGCCCAAAAATGAAAACAGCAACTTGAGACGTCAAAATGAAACTGTCCACAACTATGTGCACATTCTACATACATGCACACATGCATCCAGATCTTCCAGGTTACAAGTGCATGAAACCATACAGGACCTTGCTATATATTTTTAAAAGACTTTTCAGTTTCAATATTATGCATATCATCTTCAACTCCAAGTGGATCTGTCCAGCTTCTTATAGAACACATAAGTAACGCAATGCTTTTAATATCTACTTCTATAACCTAATGCATATAACTGATCACCATAGACCACCTAATGCATCTGCTACCTCTTTAAGGAAAAATCGTACAAACAAAAAATTGGTGCCGCACCACTTGAAGCCTATTTGCTTACCGTGATGTAAAGTGTCCACCAGAAGAGCCATGAATCCTTTTTGTTCATCCGGGCCAATGACTAAAGGCATACAAGTAAGGATCAGCATGGATGATAGTCAGGTAGTGACAGAGTCAATGGTAAACAATCTTATGCCACTGAGCTTAGTAGTAAAGGGAAGAGAAACCAATAATACAAATTTTTGTGATGGTAATACAAACCTCTTGGTCAAGGCATTCAAATTTCCACACGCTCTCCCCAAGATCATTTATTTCATTCCACCACCTCAAACCAACTAAGATGCGTCCACTGACATTCTTAACTACCCAGAAATCAAGAGCGGCAAGAAGAACAGTCACGACAAAAATGATGACAAAGTTATCAAAAAAGAGGGCAGAAAGTATGTAAAAAGCCAATGCTCCAGCCTGTGAAAGAAGGAACATAATGTTACTTAGAGAAGGAGGCACCACATATGTAAGTGACAGTCGTTCGTTTATAGGAAACAATAAACAAGAAAACTGTAGATACTAGACCTTGAAAAGAACATGGAAGAAACATGTCTTTGGGTTGGCATAGTTTTCCCCTTGTGGCTGCACATGAAAGTATAGTAGAATTAGCTAAATGGAAACAAAAATGAAAAATGGCTACAAGATAATAGGCTCATGTTCAAAACAACTCCAAGCTTGCTAAACAACTACAACATAACGAGTTCCCAAGTTCATCGGAAATGACCAAAATTAGGGGGAAGTTTTCAAGTTCGGTGTCAACGTGCATATTATTATTTTATCTGCTAAGGGAAAATAATGTAACACCTTTGATAAGAAATGCAATCCTCTTGTGACATATTATACTCCTCCGAAAATTGAACTCTTTCTTCGGGTGTCATAACAACATAAACCCTCTTCTTATTTTTTGTTTCTCTTTAACAAACCCTTTCCCATTCAAAAATTGCATTCAGCTGCCGATCTTATATCAGGATTAGAATTAAGTACCTGGACAATGCTAGGCCTCCTCTAAGTAGGCACCATACGGATCTTTACGGAAAATAATCCATCACAATATAAATTGTACCGATTCGAGGCCTCACTAAAGAAGGATACTTAATCTCCTCTTCGTTTGCACAATTTTCTACTTAAATTTTGAAGAAAAACATCCACCTAAACAAAATCTGAAATCCAAATCTACCATGGAAAATTTCCAAACGAAAATGTTGACGAATATTCTAATCGTTCCCCATTATTTTCTCAGCAACCAAACAAGAATGCAAAACCCATAATCCAGATCCGTTACTAACCCAAAAACCCTCGCAATCCCAACATTAAACGCAGCAATGAATGGCACAGAAATCCGAGTAAATGAAATTGCAAATAGTAAGCAACGAATTGAAGAACCGAGACAACTCACCTGGCTGAGATCCATATTTCCCAGCTTGTGGTTTTATGGGGATATCTCCGCTCCTCTCTCTGAATTCCGAACAGGAAAATTTCTGAGCCCTCTCTCTTCGTCTTCACCTTTAGATGCAGCTCTTTTTTTTTTCATTTTTTCTTTTATTTATTTATTATATATTATTTTATTTTCACAATATTTACGTGGGCTTGGCATCATCTCAACTAATTCGGGCCCAATATGGGCTTTAGGCCTTTTTTCTTTGAAGGTGACAACTTCCACAATGAGAAGGTGACGGGCTTGTCGATGCCGTCTGATTTTAAGCATACTGCTGAAACATTAAATTAAGGTGTGGTACGAGCTATTCGAAAATATACACGATAGTGACGGAGTCAGGATTTTAGCTTAGGAAGGACCTAATGTAAGTTTGTGAGTGTCAAGGAGAATGACTTCTAGTTCTCGACAAACTTGTAATTCAATTAGTTAGTTTTCGAATCAAACTTGATTTATGTTCCTCCTTTTAGTTGGTGGTTTGATATTGGCTGCTCAATTCACATCACAAATACCTTGCAGGGCTTCTCAAAACTAAAGGAGAGAAATAATGAAGTTTACAATGTTTTTTTGGAAATGGGAGCAAAGTAGCAGTTGAGTCCATTGGCAGTGTTTCATTAAAGCTTTCTTCTAGTTTCATTTTGTTTTTAAGTTTAGTACTCTATGTACCTTCTATGAGAAGAAATTTGATTTCAGCTTCTAAGTTAGTTAAATAAAGTTATACTTTTATTGGTGACAATGAAAGTGTAAGACTTTTTCATTCAAATAAATTGGATACTTTGCTCGGTTATGCTTCTCTCCATGTTCATATGTGGCAGTTACAATGTGATTATTTATATGAATGTTTTACAGTTTGTCATATTGGTTCCAAAAGATTATTTCAAAATGAAAATTCTCCCACTCTCTGGCATAAAAGACTGGACACATATCCAAAGAAAGACTTGTGATTTTATCAAAACAAAATCTCGTACGAAAACTTGATTTTGAAAGCTTACCAACTTGCATTGATTTTTTGAAAGGGAAAATGACGAATACCAGAAAATTAGGATCCACAAGAAGCAACCAACTTTTAGAAATAATTCACACAGATGTGTGTGGTCCTTTCCCAAATAAAACAATATGTCGTAATTCATATTTTGTCACCTTCATTGACGATTTTTCAAGATATTGTTATGTGTTTCTTATAGCTGAGAAGTCTTATGTTCTTGATTGTTTTAAAATATACAAAACTGAAGTTGAAAAACAACTTGATAAGAACATTAAAATAGTGAGATTGGATAGGGGTGGTGAGTATTTTGGCAGGTTTACAGAGACTAGACAACATAAGGGAGCTTTTGCATCTTATCTTGAGGCATCAAGAATAGTCGCACAATACACTACTCTAGGTACTCCATATCAAAATAGCGTGGCAGAAAGAAAAAATAAGACCCTGAAGGACATGATTCGATCCATGTTTTCAAGGTCCATGCTTCCAATTTTTCTGTGGGGAGAAGCACTCAAAACAACTAACTATACACTGAATAGGGTTCCAAGCAAGTCTATCAAAGTTGTACCTTTTGAAGCTTGGACAGGTAGGAGGCCAAGTTTCAATCATTTCCATGTCTGGGGATGTAGGGCTAAGGCTCGGTTTTACAACCCTCAAGAAAGGAAGTTAGATCCAAGAACTGTAAGTTGCAGGTTTATTGGATATGCTGACAAGTCCAAAGGTTTCAAATTTTATTGTCCTAATTCCCACACTAGAATTCAGGAAACCAATAATGCAAAATTCATTGAAGATTTGGAAGAAGGAATAGTGCAACACAGCAGCTCAGATTTTGAAGAAATAAGAGATGATCTTGGTCAAGCTTTTGCAACAATGCATGCACCATTGCTTGTAAGTCAAGAAAGTTCATATTCTCTTCCCGTTGTTCTCCAAAATGCTCAACTAGAGAATACCATGTTCATTCCAGTAACTGCACAGCCACAAGTGCACAATTACAACCGTGAACAACAAGTGCCTGAGCAACAAATCCCTGAGCCTGTTGTTGCTCAGCCTTTGCACCAAGAGCAGTTGCCAATAAGACAGTCAAATAGGCAAAGAAAACATCTGATCATACCCGATTTTGTCTATTTACAAGAGACTGAATACAATATTGGACATTAAGACGATCCTACCACTTTTAACCAAGCTGTCAATAGCTCACAAACTTACATTCTCCCACTTGAGTGTATGGGCGAATGTAAGCTTAGTGTAGATTCTCCTTAAGTGGGAGAATGTAAGTTTGTGAGTTTGTGAGTGTCAAGGAGAATTTACACTAAGCTCACAAACTTACATTCTCCCACTTGTAGGTTTGAATAAATGATAGGATAATTTACACTAAATTTGTTTAAACTACGAGAGGAAGATTCGAAGACTGAACCTTGAGTGCATGGGCAGATGCTCTTACCTAACTGCACTACAAACCTCTTGCACTTAAAACTCTCTTATGTGAAAATTCCCTTGGCTACACGCAACTCTCTACAAACCCAAATCGTACAAAAGAGGGGGTTGTGGAAAGACTTTTCAGTGTAATGGAAACACAATCTGGTACACCAAGTGTTATAATATTAGTCCGGAGAAGTTTTTTTCTTCAAGTGTTTATTTACTTGTACTATGACATTTTGTGTACCGGACCATGTTCCTGATACACTGAAAAAGTATGGTGCTATCCACACACTAATTTTTATCTCTTACACCACCTTCACAATTTCCGACCTATGGATTGAATGAATTAGAAAAATATTAATGGACCAATGTTAACAAAAGTGCATGCAAAGTAAAAATAAATGTGTGAATAGTACTATCTCCTGAAAAATCTCTCTAGATTTTGTGGTAAGGGAAGGCATAGATTTTGTGGTAAGGGAAGGCAAAAGGAGAAAATCAGCATAGATCTCTTGTTCCTCCACCAGCAAGCACAAGCAACCACCTTATCCTGGTATAACCAAACCTATTATGGTACCTTATCTTGGTTTAACCAACCCATCATGGCATATATCGATGGGAGGTTTGCAACTTTCCAGAGGGATCTAAAACTTGGACATTTGGAGAAAAACCAATACCAAAGTAGTAAAAGAAGAAGAAAACCAATTGAGTAAATTGAGCGAATCATCTTGTTTTAGACTACTCAAGCTCAAAATAATGAAAGAAAATAGCACCAATTGTTTCACCAGTGTTTTAACGTTTAAGCAAAGTGATCTAGAGCATGATCATTTTGTTTAGTTGGATTTAGTTTCCACTTTGTCGGATAAAATTTTGTTTTTAAGTTTGATAGACGACAGTTGGCGAATAAGTAAGAAATTAGACAAATTGATCTAACATTTGGATACATCAAAGAAATCAGGTTGAGAAAATCTCACTTCTACTTAATTATTTTCAGTTTTTTTTTTTTTCTTCAGCTTAGGTTCTTTGTATTAGCATGATTGGTTCTTTGTGTCTACATAATCATCAATTTCAGATTTTAAATTTCTAGTCTTGAACAAGTTAGTCTATTGAATTTTTTTTTCTGTACAACAACATATTGAGAGTAGTGAGAAAACAAATTAATATTGAATTCGCCATTTACGATATTTGAACATAAAATTTCTTAGTTTCAAATAAAGAGGAATAAATAGATATGGATAAAACAAATAAAATCATAAAATGGACTCGTCCTAACCAAATTACTTAAAGATTAATTTTGATGGGTAAATGGTCAATCAAAAAGCTGTTGCAGGGCTTGTTATTGGAAATGATCGGGGTTGCAGGGAACCAGAAGCTTAGGAGAAAACACAAGTTCATGGTTGAGGCAATTGGTCTACGAGATGTACTGAAAATGGCTCGGAAGCAAGGTTATAGAAATATTTGCATGCAAGGCAACTCAAAGCTAGTAATTGATGGGATTGAAGGGATTTGGATCCTCTCCTGAGTTAATGGAGAGGATCCTCCTGATCTATCATCGTGGGCTGTTGGATTTTTATCCAATAACTATAATTATTATAACTTAAAAAAAACCTCCTGTTTGTAGTCGTTGGACAAAAATCCAACGGCCCATGATGATGGATCAGGAGGATCCTCTCCATTAGCTCAGGAGAGGATCCAAATCCGGATTGAAGGGAGGTCTAGAGTTACTTGGAGAATCAGAAGCATTATTGCAAATATTACAAGTCGGCAGCCTCTTTTGTAAGCATATTTTTTGAGAAGCAAACTTTTTTGAACACGAGATTAGTAGCTCAATACTATCTTATTTGGAACTGCACTCTTCCTTTGCGTGAGACCCACACCCTATCTTTTTTTCCTTTTCTTTCTTTGATCTTTAGTATTAAATATCTTTTGATGTATTATGTATTAACTTTTTTTTAATCGTATTGAAATTAAATGTTCCCGTGACTTTGCATGAAGTCCATTTTTTCCTGATAAAAAACAAAAAAGGAATAACTTTAACGTAATAGTAAATAACATTAAAAAATTTAGGTGTAAAAGATGACTAGTTTACCTAAACATTCAGCCATATTAGAAGCCGTTGGAAGATAGATATAAACCATAAAAAAAAGTCTTTTTCTTGTAGAATGTGCATAACCGAATGATGGTCAAAAGTGAGTCACTGTAGTGTCGGTGCTGCCTGAGCACCAAGAGCCAGCCGGTAATGTTAGGGATTAAATTTATCGATAAAAATTTTACAAATTAAATGACATGAAAGTTGATGATTAAATTATGAATTGAACGTTGATAAACATATTCATTCCCATTAATGACACGTCATTTAAATTGTAAATTTCGTTTACAAATTTAATCTCTTTAGTATTACCGAAAACGAATTCATAAAGATACCCACCCACAAACGCAACGGTCCAATTTTGCATTCCTTGTACCGTACAAATTCCAATAGAGAATACATAATTGAGTGTGATGCCAATGATGTGGGAATCACAATCATCCTACCCTCCTCCCTAAGACGGAAAATACAAGTGACAAAAGAAAGCGATTCTTATAAAAGAATAATCAATCATTTAAGATTAAAAAAAAGAGGTAACTAATCATCCAATAAGGAAAACGAAGAATAAACTTCTCCTGCAATTAATATATAAAACTCACTCTTATCACTACAGTTCTTAATGCATATAATATA